ACTCCATCGAGTCCCAAAGCATTACACAGCATTTTGTCTGAGGTTTTCACAGAAATGACTTCTGAAATACCAGAACCTTGTCATCTATGTGAGAGGGAGGGAGATGGGGATAGGGTGGGAAAGTAGGAGAACCAGAGAGAGGAAGAGACAGAACAACGTTTTGAAATGTTAGACAGGATAACGTTTGGCTGAAAGAGGAAAGACAACTGTTTTTGCTGAGTCTTAAAGCCTCTTGTGACATGTCAGTGCGACTGAACAGACAAGTTCCAGTAAGTTGACAGCTGTTTGTCCTGATTTCAGGCTGATGCTGTAATTTAATTTGAACTTTTGCTGTGTTTGTGTGCTTTTCAGCCATGGGCCTGAGTTCAACACTGGGAAGCCTTCTGTTTTTCCTCAAGCTGTTTGGAATATGTACAGGGCTTGTACAAGGTGAGCCGAGTCACACTGTTTTCTCAAACCCACACAAACACTTCTAGCACTCTGAGACTAAGTATTTAAGTATTTTGTAAGAACTACATGCCATATGGTTTTTGCTAAGACTGACTCTCTGCCTCTGGGTTAAAAGAAGCATTTTATCACCCTCTTATGTCCACTGGTGTAACTGCAATATTGTGACAGCCTCAGGCGGGTGGTTTTGTTTTGTTTTTCAAAAAAGAAAACACTGTCAGGCTGCTACTGTGATTATACAGTGAAGCATTTTAGCAGAGTCCAGTTTAAAAGAAAATAAGTTGACGCCTGACCACTAGGAACCCAGACAGTCAGAGAACAAGCATGTAACTCCTGATAAAATGCAGAGAATTTAATGCCACAGCCAACAAAGCTGAACTCTAATTGATGCAGCAGTCTGGCTCAGAAAGACTTCATATTTAAAACAGTACATTACCCCTTAATTATTATTTGTTTACATATTTGGGATGGACCGACACATTCCAGCTGCATGACAAGAGCAGGTGAAGTGAACCTGAACAATTCTACTTCTCAACAAAAAATGTTACTCCTCATTGCTCAGCTCAATAGTGGGCACTTCCAGATGTGAATGTTAAGGAGAGACCAGTC